TAAAGGACTACTTGGTTGCCTATACAGTTCATAGACAAGTTAATGGATACTACTAAAATACTAAAGATAAGTGTGAGTACCGAAGATGGCCCTCTTGCAGGATGACGAGAGAGGATCCCCGATGGAGTATTGTGTTGGTGAGTAGTGGACTCGTGTGCGAAAACTATTTTACTAGTGGAGTACTGTAGGATAGGTTCGCCAAGAGTCAAGGCTGGCTTGCTGGAATAACCCCACCACCTTCTTGAGAATGAGCATGTATATTAGGTTCTGATGTAAGACTTGCTGAGTACCTTTGTACTCATGTTTGCTTAATTACTGTTTTCAGACGACAACACCGCCCCCTCCGATGGGTTCTACGTAGACCTTGATGTCGACGAGTGACTAGCCACCCAGGTGGTGATCTGGCCATGGAGGGCCCTATGTAGATAGACAGGCTTCGAGAAGCCTTCTTTCTTTCTAGTGTCTGTACTCAGACTAGTTGCTTCCGCATGTGCTTGTATGATTGTATGACTTGAGTGTCGGGTCATGTGACCCCTATCTGTATGAACTTGGTATGTATGGCTCTCTGGAGCCTTTAAATAAAGTACTTGAGTTGTAGAGTTTTGTTGTGATGCCATGTTGTATGTACTCATATTGGGCATATTGTGTGTATGATTGAAATGCTTGGTATGAGTGGGATCCGACAATCTAGTTGGTTATCCTTGGCAGCCTTTCTTATGTGGAAATGTAGTCTAGTGTTCCTCGAGCCATAGTAGTCCGCTACAGCCCGGTTCACCAGAGTCCTGCTAGCCCAGCACTACTACTCAGGACACTTGACTGGCCGGCATGTGTTTCACGTCGTTCCTATGGCTGTCCCTTCGGGGAAATGTCACGCGGTGACATCCGGATTCCTGCCTAGCCTGCTACAGCCCGGGTTCCCTGGAGTCCTGTTAGCCTAGTGCTACAGCCCAGAATCACTCGCTGATGACCGACATGCTCGATGTGATTCATGTATGCCTGTCTCCATAGGTCTGTGGCGCTTTGGGTTCATGACTAGCCATGTCGGCCCGGGTTCTCTGTCATATGGATGCTAGCGACACTATCATATACGTGAGCCAAAAGGCGCAAACGGTCTCGCAAAGTGATATGAGGTGTTACCGGCTAGATCGATGTGGCTTGGAATCGGGGTCCTGACAAACGCAAAAAAGTCTGAAGTTCAAATAAGTTTAGAAAAATGAAGTGCCCGTGTAACAGATGAGTTCTCGTCCGAAACCCTGATACTCCGAAAGAGATTGTCCAGTTTGTACAAGAAGTGCGTCCAATTTTGAAGTGAGTGGAGAGAGTGAGGGGCGGCCGGCGGGGGAGGACCGGCGTGGGGGATTGAGGGGGAGACCGAGTGAGTGGAGAGATTGAGGGCGTAAACTTGTAAAAATATACATCAAAAATACATTGATTATCAATGATCTTTTTGTGTACAAACCGAATTGTCAATATGAGTCCTCAACAGTTTAGAAACGGTGAAGACTCATATTGCGACCACAAATTCTACACATAGAGTTCAATGAAGACCAAGTGCTTGTGATAGTTTGAGAATTAACATATTTAAGGTGGTAAAAAATCTTGCTAGGGGAGCGAGGTGGGACTAAAAACAGCTTGCCACAACCTCTTTACTACCGGTTCATGCCACGAACCGGTACTAAAGGTGCTGGCCGGGCCCCAGCCTCTTTAGTACCGGTTCGTGGCATGAACCGATACTAAAGGTTCGCAATGAAACGGCACTAAAGATCTCCTCCCGCCTAGCCGTTTGAACCGGCACTAATGGACACATTAGTGCCGGCTCAAATGCAAACTGGGACTAATGTGTCTCACATTTGACCCTTTTTCTACTAGTGCTCGGCGGAAGGCTTCGAGGTCCTCGGTGCGACGGTGCGGCCGTTGGTCGCGGGGCGGCGTGGCCGTTGGTTGCGGGGCGGCATGGCGGTGCTGGTGGCCAGCGGCGCCCGGGCGGCCCAGATCTGGGCCCTTTCGGGCTCCATGTGGACTAGGATGGGTCGGCGCCTTGGTGTGTGGCGACGCTGCTCCTTGGTGTTGGTGGCGAGAAGGCGGTGGTCTGTGGGCGGTGGTGGCTTCATCGGCCGGCGAGCTGCAGCGCGCCGGCAGGGGCTGTCCAGACCCTTTTGGGTTCGGCCGAGCCTCGGTGCCTGGTAGGCCTGATACGTCTCCAACGTATCTATAATTTTTGATTGCTCCATGCTATATTATCTACTGTTTTGGACATTATTGGGCTTTATTATCCACTTTTATATTATTTTTGGGACTAACCTATTAACTGGAGGCCCAGCCCAGAATTGCTATTTTTTGCCTATTTTAGGGTTTCGAAGAAAAGGAATATCAAACGGAGTCCAAACGGAATGAAACCTTCGGGAACGTGATTTTCTCAACGAACAAGAACTAGGAGACTTGGACCCTACGTCAAGAAACAAAGGAGGAGGCCACGAGGTAGGGGGCACGCCTACCCCCCCCCCTCCCCCAGGCACGCCCTCCACCCTCGTGGGGCCCCTGTTGCTCCACCGACGTACTCCTTCCTCCTATATATACCTACGTATCCCCAAACGATCAGATACGGAGCCAAAAACCTAATTCCACCACCGCAACTTTCTGTATCCACGAGATCCCATCTTGGGGCCCGTTCCGGTGCTCCTCCGGAGGGGGCATCGATCACGGAGGGCTTCTACATCAACACCATAGCCTCTCTGATGAAGTGTGAGTAGTTTACCTCAGACCTACGGGTCCATAGTTATTAGCTAGATGGCTTCTTCTCTCTTTTTGGATCTCAATACAATGTTCTCCCACTCTCTTGTGGAGAACTATTCGATGTAATCTTCTTTTTGCGGTGTGTTTGTTGAGACCGATGAATTGTGGGGTTATGATCAAGTCTATCTATGAATAATATTTGAATCTTCTCTGAATTCTTTTATGTATGATTGGTTATCTTTGCAAGTCTCTTTGAATTATCAGTTTGGTTTGGCCTACTAGATTGATCTTTCTTGCAATGGGAGAAGTGCTTAGCTTTGGGTTCAATCTTGCGGTGTCCTTTCCCAGTGACAGTAGGGACAGCAAGGCACGTATTGCATTGTTGCCATCGAGGATAACAAGATGGGGTTTTCATCATATTGCATGAGTTTATCCCTCTACATCATGTCATCTTGCTTAAGGCGTTACTCTGTTTTCATTAACTTAATGCTCTAGATGCATGCTGGATAGCGGTTGATGAGTGGAGTAATAGTAGTAGATGCAGGCAGGAGTCGGTCTACTTGTCTCGGACGTGATGCCTATATACATGATCATACCTAGATATTCTCATAACTATACTCAATTATGTCAATTTCTCAACAGTAATTTGTTCACCCACCGTAGAATACATATGCTCTTAAGAGAAGCCACTAGTGAAACCTATGGCCCCCGGGTCTATCTTCATCATATTAATCTTTCAATACTAAGTTATTTCCTTTGCTTTTATTTTACCATGCATCTTTATCATAAAAATACCAAAAATATTATCTTATCATATCTATCAGATCTCACTCTCGTAAGTGGCCGTGTAGGGATTGACAACCCCTTATCTCGTTGGTTGCAAGGATTTATTTATTTTGTGCAGGTACGAGGGACTCGCGCGTAGTCTCCTACTGGATTGATACCTTGGTTCTCAAAAACTGAGGAAAATACTTACGCTACTTTGCTGCATCATCCCTTCCTCTTCGGGGAAAACCAACGCAGTGCTCAAGAGGTAGCAAGACCCC